CATTTCAATAAATGGCCAAAAAATAAAAAATCTACGCTTTGCAGATGATACAGCACTACTCGCTAACAGTCATAAAGAGTTAATCAATTTAGTAAATAGAGTAGAAAACGAAAGCAATCGGCTCGGTCTGGAACTAAATACGCAAAAAAACAAAATTATGATAGTTGATAGGCAACATAACAACCATCCAAATATAAGTCATATCGACCGTTTTGAAGTCGTTAAGTCATACATATACCTAGGATCACTATTGACAAATACAGGCACATCGGAAGAAGAGGTGAAGCGTAGATGCAACATGGCAAAGCATAGCTGTTGGGAGACTGACCAAGATCTGGAAAGACCGCCAGATTTCAGGAGCCACCAAAAACCGGCTAGTCAACTGTTTGGTACTCCCAATATTGACGTATGGCTGCGAATCGTGGACTCTCAGGCAGGCGGAACGTAAGAAGATCGATGCTACCGAGATGTATTGTTATAGACGTATGCTCCGTATCCCATGGACTGAACGCCGTACAAACATTTCCATTATAAATGAACTTAATATTACTAACAGGCTTTCCTGTAAAATCCGTCTAAAACAACTAAAATTTTTTGGACATATAATGAGGAAAAGTCCGGACAATATGGAAAGACTCATAATTCAAGGCAAGGTGGAGGGACGTAGACCACGTGGCCGCTCTCCAACTCGATGGATAGACCAGATCACGACTAGCTGTAGCAAGCCAATGCACGATGTCATCGAGATGACAAAAGACAGAGGCGCATGGAGAAAAATCATCCATGATGTTACGCTGACCACTACACTCCCTAATGGGGGTCAGGACTGAAGAGAGAGAGAACATAAAAAATTAAGTAACTTGATGTATACTGTTGAATATTCGAAGTTTGAGTCTTTCGTCACAGATCGTCATTCTCTCTCTTATCCATGTTTATCACATGAAATGGAAATTTTTCGTCAAAAACGTAAGTCCATTATATTTCTTACATCGTACGATTATTTTTTTCTTTTTACATACGGATCACCTTCATTAAGTATAAAGGATCGTACTTCCTTGTCTACTGTGTACGAATAGAAAAAGGCAAACATTGTATTTGTATTATCCGCCGAAATCGAACAAAACGAATCGCCGACTGTCAAAGTTGTCGTTAAATTTTAACGACTCCAATAGTTTCCTGTAAATTTTTGTGGAATTTTTTGTGTTTATTTAGTTATTTGTGATTTAATTTGCGTTTAAAATGCCATCCCGTTTTAGTAAAAAAGAACAACGGCTCATATTAAAAGTTATCGAGTATTTGAAACTCGAAAAAGGAAACTGGAAAACCCCTTTTACCTGTGTCGGCTGTTTACCATCTAATTAGACAACCATTGGACAACTATCCATTATAGTGGACAGCAAACTGCAGGAGAGAGGATTGGGCATTAGATACAGATACGACGGCGGTCTGTTTAACATAAAAAGACTCAGGGCAAAAACACGTACAAAATTTATCACAGAACTTCAATACGCTGATGACTGCGCTCTAGTTGCAAAGACATTACAACAATTACAAGAAATGTTGGACACATATACCTGGGCATACGAGGGCCTTTGGGCCTTAAGCTAAACATCGACTAAACCAAAATCATGTGCACTCCCCCGGAAGATCACAACAATGCTATAAAAATCGGAGAAGAGCTATTGGAATATGTAGCGGAATTCAATTACTTCGGCAGTTTGATTTCGGAAAACGCCAATATCGACTATGAAATTCAGCACAGGATTAGCAGCGCCTCAAGAGCATTCTGGAAATTAAAAAACAGAGTCTTTTACAATCATGACTTGAGTACAAAAACAGAACTTGCAGTGTACCGAGCAATTATAATCCCCACCATGTTATATGGGAGCGAAACCTGGGTGTCGTACCGCCGACACATGAAGGCATTAAACAAGTTGCAACAGAGACAACTTAGACAACTCTTAAGAATCCGATGGTTCCATCATGTTTCAAACGTATCGGTCGTTGAAAAAGCTAACTGCGAGAGTATTGGAGTTATGGTTTCAAAATCCCGCTTAAATGGGCTGGTCACGTATGCAGAATGCAAGAAAACCGCATAAAAAACTCTGCTTTACGGTGAGCTTGTAGACGGTGAGAGGAGGTAGGATGGACAACTCAAAAGATACAAGGACATTTTCCACGAAAACTTAAAAGGGATTAACATGCAGAATGAGTGGGAAGAAGTAGCTCACAATAGAACTCAATGGTGAAGGATTGTCAGTTAACAGCGACAACCAAAAAATAAACGGGCAACAAAGCAATGAAATTTTTGAATGTCCGGAGTGTGGTAGGCAGATAACATCACGTATCAGGCTTTTCAGTCACAGAAAAGCTCATTAAAGAAAACGCCTTGCGTGACCATCTTCTGATGCGTGTCAAATACTCGTCAGCGAGTAATGGCAGTATGTATGTATGAACAACTATCGAGTTAATATTTTGTAACTAAATCGAAAATATTCACGTGTTTTATAGAGAGCATCGGAGGCTTTAGGAATTTCATAATATGCAAAGAATAAGTTCCAGAGGAATCGTGAAATATAAAGAACAAAAAGCAGCAAAACAAGTCACAACATTCCTTTGTCCCACACTAAAATTATTGTGGTCTCACTTTGTAGGCCACAATAAATTTGTCATTGTTTAATATTTTGTTATTACATTTGTTTTTGTTAGTTTACAACCAGAGATATAAACAACTCATGAACCAAGTCAGGAAATACGTGAAGACCAATATGGCGCCGAAAATGATGACGAAAGTTTCAAACTTCGCAAATGCCAATTTTGGACTTTACATAGTTTGCTTCTACGGTACAAATACAGAGTTTTAAATTCCCTTTTCAACGATATGGATATTATTATTTTTTCAAAACGGAGGCCTAGAGTTTTCGCGGCTTTCTATATTACACGATACAAAAAAAAGACTGAATACCGGAATGATTTAGAATAAGCTGGTATTAAACGTGGTTATTTTATCAAATACAATGGAGAAAAAAGAACAGCTCTTAATAAAATCCCTTCAATAAAATTTTATTGGCGGGCAGAAAAAAGCTCTTCTTAGATCTGATTTTAATTAATTTGAGGAGCTTTTTTAATTATGCGAAGCCGGAGAAAATTACATCCGGCTAAAAATGGAGAAAAAGGTATTTTTAGAAAGGTTTGTTTGCTTAAGAAAAGGGCAATATAAATGAAAAGAAGAGAAGGGTTTGCAGTGAACTAATTTAAGACAATCAACTAATTTTTACAAGGTTTTATTTAACTTGCAATGTTTCGATGAAGTTTCTGAGGACTTACGATCAAGAAAAATTAAAGATTTTTCTTGATATAAGTACTACATTCGTTCTACGTTCTACGTTCTACGTTCTACGTTCTACGTTCTACGTTCTACGTTCTACGTTCTACGTTCTACGTTCTACGTTCTACGTTCTACGTTCTACGTTCTACGTTCTACGTTCTACGTTCTACGTTCTACGTTCTACGTTCTACGTTCTACGTTCTACGTTCTACGTTCTACGTTCTACGTTCTACGTTCTACGTTCTACGTTCTACGTTCTACGTTCTACGTTCTACATCCCACATCCTACATCCCACATCCTACATCCTACATCCTACATCCTACATCCTACATCCTACATCCTACATCCTACATCCTACATCCTACTTTCTACATTCTACAATCTACATTCTAAATTCTAAATTCTACATTCTACAGTCTATAACTTGCAATGTTCGTATCAAAGGCGACTATTAACTACGTGAAGTGTTTTCGAGGATTTTTTTACCCCCCTCCCCCACTGGTGAGATATCGTGAGATCTTTACTTAAAAGCATAATTTACTTATCAAAAATACCTCAATGGGGACTACTAAAATTAGTTTACTAAACTACTGTAATAGTATCAGTATTAAATAACTTTTTACATATATTTATAGATTTTAATATATAGAAGAATTGTGTTAGATTTTAGTCCAGAAACATGTTTTATTTTAAATTAATCTGATTTACTCACTTATTTTCGCTATTTTTTGGCCGAAAAAAAATTACGTGATATTTGCCGAAGCCTCTCTCTCCCCTACGTGAGATTTAGTCAGATTCGGCCTTAGCCCCTCCCCCTACTAATCTCCTTACGTAATTTATTGATGCCTCCTAAGTTACTATATTCCAATATATTTCAATAGATTATGATAATAACTGTGCTTTTTTTTAGTTCAGTAAATATGTTCAATTTTATCGAATATGATGTTTAAAAAAACTTGTTTACGTAACTTCTGATCAACTGAAGTGAACAACATAAAAAAACGAAAAAAAATATAAATGATTATTTCAAAAACTCTAAAAACACATTTTTTGTTTGCTTTTTCCAAATCCAAACATTTGTTTAGCTCAAAAGTAGACAAAACAAATTTACATACCCTTTTATTAATTCAAAAAAAAATACAGTCTATTTATAGGTTTTAGTGGAGTTTAAAAGTGCAGATAAAATTACTAGATAAATTAGGGAAATATCAGCAAGTTATCCAGCTGACAGACTGGGTTAGAATAAACATTTACTCAAGGAAACTCTCAATAAGTACTAATTAGAATTATTGGTTGTTTGTTTATATTACAAAAAGCTATGAAAATATAGACCAAAACAATAACTAAAAACACTTTATTAATTTATAAAAAATACTAAAACATATTTTACATTTATAACTACAGAAAATATAAATGAGCAGCATGTATCAATACTAAGTTAAGTTACAGCAGTAAATTTATGTGTGGCTCGATACTTCATTCCAAATAATATGTCTAAATAACATTTAGTTTTACATTTTTTCAAGAGAGTAATTTGCAAAAATAATAATTATAGCCTTAATTTTATTTTTGGTTTTCATAGAATTAAAATACATTGATCTTAACTTAAGTATCTATTTTTCATATTTCAATAAATTAACAAACATTTAAATCAACAAACTAATCCATTTATAAACTATGATATTGAAGAGCAGGCGATATTCTCGAAACTGCTAACTTTGCTGGAGATGCTTCAATGATTGCTGGACCGCTCAATGCTTCCTTCCTGACAACTGCGTTGAATCCATTCACTGGATCTGCTGAATAATCTACAATCCTTCTTGTACCGTCTGGTTCGTTCAAAGCATAACTGCCTTGCACCTAAAAAAAACAGTAAAGTATTTTTAAAACCAGTATCAACAGGATGCTCTCAGAAATCTTCGCCATTCTACAATGTGCAAGAGAAAACAATAGAAGAGCTTATTCAGGTAACCTCATCAATATATGCTCAGACAGTCAAGCGGCACTTGGGGCGCTTATGAACCCAAAGGTATCGTCGAGACTCGTCTGGGAATGCCTGGGTGAACTGGGAGCTCTGGCACGAAGGAACAGAATTAAATTATTCTGGGTGCCGGGCCACAGCGGCATCCAAGGCAACGAAAAATCCGATGAGCTAGCTAGGCAGGGATCATCGGCATCCTATCTTGGTCCAGAGCCAGTACTGGGAATACCCAAATGTATGGCCCGTAGTGCACTAAAACTCTGGATCAGGGAAAAGCACAATGTCTATTGGAGAAACAGACAGGGGCACAGGCACAGCAAGGCTTTTATCCAAGGACATAGCTCTAAAACCGCAAAAGAACTGCTAATGCTTAGCAGGAATAAAGTGCGGATTACAACAGGCCTCTTGACAGGACACATGGCTGTCAAGTGTTATCTGAACAAGCTCAACCTGTATCAAGGATACAACCTGTATCTGCAGACTCTGCGATAAAGATCCTGAAACAGCGGAGCACATAATATGTCATTGCGAGGCTCTGGATCGCAAGCGACACTTTTTATTTGGGAAAGCTAGGCTACAACCGGAGAAACTATGCTCCGATCCTATCAAGGACCTGCATAAGCTAGTGCAGGGCACAGGGATAGGAGAATGGGTGCAGATATAGAAGGGGGACAAACACAATAGGCCTCACAGGTCGCAGTGTTTCCGGCAGAGGACGGCCCCTTGTTAGGAAAAAACAGGATGCTCTAGCTAGAAAAGGACGAAACATTCCAGTGGACCATAACCTTTCTACCTTCCAAATGGAAACAACTTAAACCAGAACTCAAGAACCTGGAAGACGTCATCCATAACCCGAAATCGGAATCCTCCCACGGTAAAATCCTTCTTCCAAGGAAAATTTCAGGACTTTCGATCAAGAAAAATCAAAGTTTTTCTTGGATTTAAGTAAGAAAAATATGCGGATTGTAACGGGGTTTTTAACAGGACACCGTCTCCTCAATGAATACCTTAGTAGATTGAAGCTGCGAAACAACAGCAAATGCAGATTCTGTGCAGATGACAACCATTCGTGTCATAAACTTTGATATAACTGATCTTCGAGATAGAGAATTAACCTCTATAAAAGCGGCTAAGATATATATAAAAAATGGGAGTTGAAAAAAGGGGTATAAAAAGGGGTTGAAAAAGGGGTATAAAAATGGTGAAAATTTAGGGTTGTATGTATTTTTTAATGCCACTTCATAAAAAAATTAAAATAAAAAATGTTGTCCAAGAAGTCAAAAAAATTGGGGGTGGACTACCCTTATCACTTAGGGGTATAAAAAATAGATAACAACCTATTTTCAGACCTACTGAATACCAAACTTACATACAGGGTGGCACCTCTCATACGCCGCGGAGGCTCTAAGGAGAACGACAGTTTGTATTGAAGTGAAATTTTTTGAGCATATGTAGGTTAATTCAGAGCACTTTTTAAAAATATAGAAAGTTCTACACGGTGTTCCAAAAAAAAGTTATATATCAAAGTTGTGTTTTTTGTAATGGAACACCCTATATATTATTTGATTTTCGGATTCTGGGGGAAAAATAAAGGTGAGTTTTATAAGAGAAATGTATAACTAAAATGTACGGTTTTTTGACATATTTAACATTTTGTAGAAATAAAGAATAATTTTTGTATTACAATAAAAGCTACCTAAATTGGAATTTACCCGGTATAGCCTTATATATAATTAAATTAACTATTGTACTTTAAATCAAATTAAAACTTGATCCAAAAAGTTATAAAGGGTGAGACAAAATTAATATTGAACATTGGCAACCTTTAAAAGCATGCTACTCTTTTATTTTAAATGAAACACTCAGTATATTATTCCGATATTCAATGGAGAATTCATGTCTTTTCAAAATACTATTAAGGTTGCCTACCCCTCAAACAAAGATTTTCCTAGATATTTTCATTTACATGATTTGATTTGAGTAGATCTTTATTATTTGATAAAATCTAGGTGGCTGTGATATGTCTGACGTTACAGTTTGACAAATATAGGAAGAGACTTGGGGATAGCACCGGTCGCGCACACGATAGAGAGAGAACGCATTCGGCGGAAGAGAGAGATGCAGTTACGCTAGGAAAAATCTGATTCAAGCAAATTTGTGAGCTGTCCACTGCGCATGGAGGGGCGTCTCTTATTTTATATTTCTCACGTCTCTAGCTATACTTGTTAAGTTGTACTTCAACATAGCTATCTAATTAGTCCAACTTTAATAACTAGTTATCATTTTGTGTCAGTTAAAATAGAAAAAAATTTCAGAAATTTGCCGAAAATGCAAACTTATCCTACATCAGAAAGAAAATTGATATGATTCTGTTAGTTGGTGAATGCAGTGTACATTCACCAATAGAATTCTTAAATGCTCCTGATTTTATCTAGTCTGTTTTTTTCATGGGTTAAAGACAGTGTTTTCAAAACTCGACCAACTATTGTCGACAACATGAGAGAAATTATTGTAGCTGCTTTTCCAGGTAGAACTCCACATAAATGCTTTTTAAAATGTCATTTCCTTTTGAAAAGACAATCATTTTATGCAGTTAACAGGAAAGGAAGCATTTTGAGTATTTGATTTCATTTTAGTAATTAGTAATTAATTCTGTAATAATTAAAATATGTTTTAAACGTGTATCTTTTTATTACCGTCGAGTATTTTACTCTACAATCTTTAATTTTTGTTTAATTAACAAAAGGTATATCACACAGCCCCCCTAGATTTTTTCAAATAATGAAGATCTACTGACGCAAAATCATTAAAATTAAAATTTCTAGGAAAATCTTTGTCTGAGGGGTAGGCGACCTTAATAATATTTTGAAGATATATAAATTCTCCATTGAACCGCCGGAAAAATTTACTGGGTGTTCCATTTAAAATAAAGAAGTAACTTGCTTTTAAAAGTGACTAATGTTCCATATTAATTTTGTCCCACCTTGTATAACTTTTCGAGTCAAATTTCAATTTGGTTTAACATACAATAGTTACTGTAATTAAATATCAGGCTATACAAGGTCAACTAAAATTTAGGTAGCTGTTATCGAAATTTAAAATTTTGCTTTTCGTTTTCACAAAATGTGAAATATCTCAAAATTCTTAGATTTTGGGTATACGCTTCTTTAATAAAACTCACCTTTATTTTTTTTTCTAGCATTAGAAAATCAATTAATATATAGGGTGTTCCATTAGAAAAAGCACAACTTTGATGTGTAACTTTTTTTGGGGACACTCTGTATAATTCTATATATTTTTATAAAATGCTTTCAGTTAACCTACATAAGCTGGCAAAATTTTATTTCGATGTAAACTACCGTTCTCCTTGGAGCTTCCGCGGCGTATGAGAGGCGCCACCCTGTATACAACAACCAAACTTACATAATCTCCATTTCTGGTTTCAGCCTGTGATTTGATATCTCCAGTGATAGAGTCGTGGACATCGTATCCAAACGAATACTGTGGATTAGGATCATATTCTTCTGATTTTAGGGTGACTGCCGGTTGTGCCTGAGGATGGAAACGTGTAATTATAGGAATCGTTTGAATTTGGTTTGTTAGAGCTTACTTTAATTAAAGTTGGGGGTGCTGGTGCAATTGTGTTGATCAGAGGAGCAGAATTGTACCTAAATAGACTTGGTGCTGGGTTTTGGTATATGGGTTGTGATAAAATAGGTGAGGCCTGGGCATATCTGAAAATTATTATTATCCAATTAAAAAAATTGTATAAAATTTTTAAAAAATAGTATTTGAACGTTTTATAAACATAATATGAGCAGAACAGAATTTTTTTTTAATTAAATATGTTACAATCAGTAATACAACAATGTAGTATTTCAAGAAATGTTTATGCAGTAAAAAAAAGAATATTTACAACCCACTGTAGAAACTCTCAGTAACTATTTGCTGAGACAGCTCTGGCCAAGTTACTTGCAAATTTACACAAAGCTTAAGTCTTCTTAAGAATTAATTATTCCTGAGCACTTATTTCAGAATTCTACATTTTTTTTATTAGACATCAACTTGACATATGAAAACCTCGTAAGTTCAATATTTGGTAAAAATGGTTATTTAGAGAGTATTTCGATAAAGGCGTCATAGTTTATTATATTGTAAGACAAAATTGAATTATTTTGATTATTGCACTATCTGTGTACAGGGTGGGTCAAATTCGACGATTTTAAATGGAAACACCCTTTTCAATAGGAGATAGACGAAAACTAATATCGGTGTCTGGAGCTCAATTTTCATCAAAAATATGATGGTGAAAACCGCACATCAATATCTGTTACCGTTTCGGAGTTACGGGGTGTTTTTCAAAAATGTGCCTTTTTAACAAATCGCTGTAACTTTTTTGCTATGGAAAATTTTGTATTTCTATGAAAACATTTCCCAAACACCTTTTTACGTAGAATTTAATGGTTTAAGTATATTTTTTTTTAAATTAATAATTTAAGAGTTATCAACAGAAAAATTGATTCTTTATTTGGGACACCCTCTATATTTTTAAATAACTGAAAATAATTTAAAATTACCTTTCCAAAAATATAGCACACTTGATATTTTGTTATAATCCCCTTCGAAATAAAGAATTTTAAAAGTTCGCCACTTTTAACTAGTAGGCTTTGGACCCCTTATTGATGATATGCCCTTAATGGAACTCGAAAACATATTTTTCCAGCAAGACGATGCATCGCCTCTCAACGCTGAAGTTATCAGCAAATTTTTGCAGCAAATTTCAAGAATAATTGGATAGCTAACCAAGATCCCAGCCGTTGGTCGTCGAGGCCGCCTGACTTAGTGCCCATGGATCTATTCCTATGGATATATTTGCGGAAGAATAAAGGTTCCTTATTTTTCCGTATAATTTAGACAAGAATTAAAAATACTTAGCAGTTATGAGAGGATATCTTTGACCCCCACTGAGTTAATGAATTCCGTGAGAAATGTTCAAAAACTGCCCCGTCTCTCCATAACAGAAGACGGTCTATATGTCGAACACCTGTAGCAAAATCTCATGTGTTGGTTTGCTATTTATTTTTATTGTTATTAGATATAGTTTAAATGTGTTGATGTTGGTTAAATATATTTTAAATTGTTATAAAATTCTGCATCTCTCATAGCAAATATTATTTTCGTTTTAATTAATGCTCACAGCTAGATTTTTTGCATTACAGCCGGTGCCGTTCAAAGCCATCCTTATTTAAAGCGGGCGAATTTTTATATACTCTATATCTCGAAGAGGAATCGAGCAAAATATCAAGTATGTTATATTTTTGGAAAGGTAATTTTAAATTCTTTTCAATAAATTAAAAATATGAAGGGTGTCCCATATAAAAAATCAAATTTTCTGTTGATAATTCTTAAATTATTAATTTTAAAAAAATTATACTTAAACCATTAAATTCTACGTAAAAAGGTGCTTTGGAAATGTTTTTATAAAAATACAAAATTTTCCATAGCAAAAAAGTTACAGCGATTTGTTAAAATGCATATTTTTGAAAAACACCCCGTAACTCCGAAACGGTAACAGATATCGATATGCGGTTTTCACCATCATGTTTTTGACAAAAGTTGAGCTCCAGACACCGATATTAGTTTTTGTGTATCTCCTATAGAAAAGGATGTTTCCATTTAAAAGCGTCGAATTTCACCCACCCTGTACAATTTTTTTAATCAGAATAAAACACGCTTGAAGAAGTTTTTTGTTTCTCCACCTAAATTTTTAGCTCTTTAACTCAAACGGTTTTCAAGATTTTCCAAAAAATCTGTTTTTTCAATTTTATTTTTATTTTTATAGTAAAATTCAAAATTAATTAATGATGATTTTTTTCTAATTCTTAGAAGTCAAGACATGGAAAAATTATATGATCATAATTTAAATGAAAGAAAATTAAAATCTTGATCTCACGGCCTCTCGGTCGGCCGTGAGATCGGTCGGACAGAGAACAAAAAATACATTATATAAATTTTTAACATAGACTATCGGTTTAAATTGGGTTTAAATTCAGACAATTAAATAATTTATTCCGCAACTTTATTTTCAGTGCAGTTTATTAAGATAACAAGATGGAAAGCAAAATCATCTGGTCAAATTAAATAAGATAATAATATTATTTATGTTAAAACTAAATAATATTTTTTTGCCTTATTTATGAAAATATAATTTTAGAGTATATCATGCTTTCAGAAAGCCCATAACAAGGCAAATAATATAAAAAAATAATATACTGGGTGTCTCATTTAAAAAAATAGAAGTCAGATTTCGAAAATGAGAACCATCAGCGAAACTAGTTAACATCACTGGATTCTGCGTAAAAAACTAACCGAGACTGAGTTTTCACCTTTTCGATAAGTTATAAGATAACCGATATACGATGGAATCGAAAAATGCAACATTTTGAAATTAGTATAGAGTATTTTAGGAACTAAAAAGATTAGAACAACTCTTCTTCTTTTTAATTCTTTAATTAATTAATTTTTTAATTCGTTCATGTTGCAATAATTGATACTCAACTTTTGATGTATTCTCGGGCAGCCGTCCTGTAACTGTACATATACCCGGCCGTGGCCCGACGATCGGCCTGCCGACCCAATCACACGGAGCGCGGCGCGAAATTTTTTGCTACAGGCTCGGCGATCCACGCGCCGTGTAACGGCACCTTAAAATCTTCTCGGACTCATTTTTTTAAAATAATCTTTATGTTTATTTCTGGCAAGGATGTATTTTTAACTTAATAATATTTTTTAACGTGCTTTTTTAAACTAAACAAAAATATCAGTTAGTTAAAACAGAAGATTTTAGAAAAAAAATAGTTTTTTTAATTTTTTCTCTAGGAAAATATCATTTTAATAGTAAAAGTAATAGCGTACATCGTATGTACATGAACCATTCCATAGTCAAAGCAAAATTCTTCTCAAAGCAAAACAGAAATGAAATAATATCTAAGGAACTAAGGTAGAAAAATAAAGAGAGGTATTTTAATAGACAAATAATTTACCTGATTTGAGGAATTGGTGCTGGGGCAGCATACTGAATCGGTTGCTGTAAAAAGCCAGCTTTAGAACAGGCCACTAAACCGACGAAAACCAAGAACTTGAACGCCATTTTTTCAGATGCGAAAAACGCAAAGAGAATTTGAATAATAATGCACCGATACGAAATGCATCTTTTTATATAAGAGACTTTTAAGATCTCTTACCAGACCGAATCGAAAAATAAACCCGTTTGTTTTGGAAAATAAAGGTCAATTTTGACGGGCATTCTTGTTGTTGGCGCGAATGTTATGTCAGGCGAGAAGGTTATAATAACTCGTGGAAAAAGTACAAGTTGTTCTGTTGCTCAAATGAAGAGATATTTAGTGTTTTTTTTACTTTTTTGTAGATTATCGTATATAAAGAAGTTTCAATAAAAATGATAGGTATGTTATAAAAATTACGACCTCGAAGTATGCTTTTTATGATTTTTTAACTATTTAGGTCCGCTTTATCATGAAACTTTTCGGTCATACGCTGTTTTAGTTATTGTATGTACAGGGTGGGTCAAATTGGACGCTTTTAAAGGGAACGCCCTTTTTTATAGGAGATAGACGAAAACTAATATCGGTCTCTGGAGTAAAAAAAAAACATGATGGTGAAAACCGCACATCCATATCTGTTACCGTTTTGGAGTTACGGGGTGTTTTTAAAAATGTGCATTTTTAACAAACCATTGTAATTTTATTGCTATGGAAAATTTTGTATTTTTATGAAAACATTTCCAAAGCACCTTTTTACGTAGAATTTAATGGGCTAAGTAAATAATTTTTGTAAAATTAATAATTTAAGAATTTACAACAGAAAATTTGATTTTTTATATGTCTATGCCATTCCATATTAGTATATTTTTAATTTATTCAAAAAAAAATTTGAAATTGCCTTTCCAAAAATATAGCATATTTAATATTTTGCTCGATTCTTTTTCGAGATATAGAGTTTTTAAAAATTCGCCTACTTTGAATAAGTAGGCTATGAACGGCACCGGTTGTAATGCAAAAAAAAATTAGCTGTGAGCAGCAATTGAAACGAAAATAATATTTGCAATTAGAGGTGCAAAATTTTATAACAATTTAATCTATAATACTATTGTTACTGCTCATGTATTCATTATAGTTTTCTTTATAGTTATACCACAGGTAACATTGAAAAAATATAAACTTATGAAAAGAAATACAAAAATTTTCAAAAATGGAAGCAATTAAAAAAACGTGCGTGAAGAAATAAAGTTTTTAACCTATCCTCCCTGTAAAATATCATTTAATCTACCCTTGCGGTACTATTAAGTACTATTTTATCTACTATTTTTGAAAGATGTAAGGCAATTTTAAAAGTTGCTATGGAAAAAACAGTATTAATTGGTCATTTAAAAAAAACAAAAGCTTTTATAAAGAATGCATTTTTATCAAAAAGTTAATAGTAAAAATGTTTGGCTGTACTTAAACTGCCGTTAAACGGTAGCTTACTAAAATGCCGTTAATATGTATGACGTCGTTGATGTGACGCACTTGACGACTTTACGAAATATAGGAATTTTATAAGGACTAACCAACGCTATCCACCCCACCAAATAACCAACTTAACCAACGCAACTAACCTCGACACTGATAAAAAAATATAAAAAACAAATATAAATTAGTAAAAACCAACCAACCCCACCAAATAACCAACTAGCCAATGAATTAACACCCTCCAAATAACCACGCTAACCAACCCGCCAAATAACTAAACCAATCCAACCAAAAAGAGTGAAACCAATGCAATAAGATCACGCTATAAGCAAAAAAAAATATAAAAAAGTGTTGGTCGGTGTGAGATTTGAAGCACGGACCATTCGCTCACGAAGCGATAGCCTCAGCCACGGAGCCACAGAGTACTCTTGCAAAATGCTTATAGCTAGGCATTACTTTCTGCCGACATGAACGACGTCACAATATCTATTAACGGCATTTTAGTAGGCTACCGTTCAACGGCTGTTTAAGTAAATCGAAAATGTTTTACCTCTTTTAAAGGCGATCCGAGGATATACTGTATATGGATATCAGTTTATTCATATACACTCTATTTTCGTCAATATTGATTTAGGAAAATCATCGCAAATCCACAAATCAAAATATTCAAAACGAGTAAATGCACGTTTTCCATCATCGTGTCAAGTTTCGCGCCTATGACGACGCGTGGCAGGTTTCAGGAAAAATTATTGGGGAAAATATGCCAAGGCACAGTCCTTCGTTTTGCCATTAGGCAGTTTCCGCCACTCCAGATGAGCATTTTCCGAGCTGCTTAAATTCCACAACATGGATCCTCGCTTTAGCAGGATTTTCGTCGTTTTCCCGCATTGATTTTAGGACGTATGACGTGTTTCGCACGATTTTCAACTTAATGTTTTGAAATATGTTAAATTTTCAACTAATTTTCTCTCTATTATTTTATACAGGATTTTTCAAAACAAAAAGATCTTCATAGAGTAACTCCTTTTTACACTGAGATGCAAAAAAAACAACGGAGAATTTTTTCGTCAAGTTTAAAGTTTTATATTTTTTTACTTTTAGTTCGATTTTTCATAAAATTAACTGTCACCCGAGTGAATAATGGCTATAGATTGCAAGTTAAATACTATACTTTGTCCACGTTCCTAATAATTATGAGGAGTATGCATGTTTTAAGGGAAAATGTCACTACCTACTTAAAATTTGGCAATTTCAAACGTCAGAATTAACTAAAAGATAATAAAAACGTCAATATCATCAGTTGCTATGCATCGAGAGTCTCGAACTATTTTATTTTTTCCAAATATTTGGGAAGTTTATTATTAGATTTGTTTTACGACATACCTGTATATTAGCCATAGGCGTAACTACAGGGGTGCCCGGGGGTGCCGCCCCCCCAGGTACTGCTGGGCACCCCCAGAGAAATCCTGAATTATGACTCTTGGCTACGTATTAATTTTTATTTGCTTGTGATACAGTAAAAATGACGTTTTCTAGTTTTGTTTAGGTAATATTATTTTGTTGTGTTCAAAAAATGTGTTAAGTGTTATTTTTTTAGAAAATTTGTAGGTATTTAAATAATCTACGGGAACACGGTTTGATAACCAAGTCTATGAAATTTATTGATAGAGAAATTCATATAAACGTTTTATTAAAAAAATGTGTTTTTTAAAATTATTTTTCATTTTTAAAAAAACAAAATCCATAGGCCCCCCCTGGACTCGTCCCCATGCCCCCCCCCAGGGCCCACCCCAGGATAAATTGCTAGTTACGCTAATGATATTATTACTTTTTTCTACCACCTTTAGTAAAATAAATTTGTTGAAAAATGATAGATCGTACCACCAGACTTTTTGTTGTTTTGTGTAACAAAAGTTGGTAATTTGTGTTTTATTTATCGTTATACAGGGTGGTCCGAACTGTATTCCGGAAACTTCGGCAGCATATTCTGCAGATAAAAATATGTAAAAAAGTTCGTATAAATGTATGTCCCAAAATGCTTAGTTTCGGAGATACAGGGTGTAGAAGTTTCATTTTTATTTCGATTTTTCCAAATAATTTCTGAAGTAAAGTCAATATTTGAATGAAAATTGGTATCTGGGAGTTTTTTGGCATGAGAAATTTGATTTTGATGTCAATATGGCTCCAACTAGTAGAGGGCGCCACCTACATATTTTTAACCGGTTTGAAGAGTAATAACTTTTCGTCCGTACCTGTATAAAACTACTGAGTAAAAAAATATACATTTACGACGATTTTTACGTAAAAACCTGTCATCATTGACATTAATTAAACATGTTGACTAAATAGTTATTAAACTGAAATCATAAATTTGAAATATTTTTGTACCAAAAGTTCAACAGAAACTGTTTTATCATCATTTTTTACAGAAAAATTTATGATTAATTTAAAAAAAATATAAATTTTCAAATTTATTATTTCAGTAAAATAACTATCTATTCAACGTGTTTATTTTTCGGTAATAATGACATGTATTGACTATTTCCATTCCAAATATCTTAAGAACGGTTGCTCGTAGCGATTTTTACAAAGAGATATTTTTTACGTAAAAAGTCGCAGAGATTATTTTTTCGCTCGGTAGTTTTATAGAGGTACGGACAAAAAGTTATTACGCTTCAAAACAGTTAAAACACATGTAGGTGGCGCCCTCTACTAGTAGGAGTCATATTGACATCAAAATCAAATTTCTCATGTCAAAAAACTCCCAGACACCAATTTTCATCCAAATATTAACGTTACTTCAGAAATTATTTAGAAAAAATCGAAATAAAAATGAAACTTCTACACCCTGTATCTCCGAAACTAAGCATTTTAGGACATATATTAATACGAACTTTTTTACTTATTTTTATCTGCAGAATATGCTGCTGAAGTTTCCGGAATGCACTTCGGACCACCCTGTATATGTATTTGAATTTTATTGATGCTGCTTCAAGTTTTTTGCAATAAAACATACTTCTACCAGCTTTAGTTGAGTACAGTTGTTGGAGAACGATAAATTAGAGTACCATCAGCATCTGACCAGTACCATATTCCTTCAGCTAGGAAGTAGAATATTGATTTATTATTAAGTGGTCGTGGACAAATATATTGACTCATCCTCCACTGAAATTATCTGCAATCAAAATTCCGAAAAGAAAATATCGTTCTTGGGCGTGGTTTCTGGTCGACCTTGACCCAATTGCGCCAGTTTGAGGTACCACGAGTGCGATTCATCAATATACAGACGGTACTTTGTTTCAGAATACGACAAGGTTGATTTTTGTCTTATGAATTGATGAATAAATCTGTAACACACCGATCGGTAAAAAGTTATGTGACATAATCTACAGGTTTTTTGGTCGACGTGAACGATTACGATTTTTTTTATATTTTGACTTGTGTACCACAAACGGCACAAACGCTTTTTAATATCAAAAATTAGTTTTGTTTTCAATTGTTTCTTTATAATTTTTTTGGCATATTTTTGAGTTTTTGGTTTAAATGAATTGTGTTGTAAATATGAATATTTTAAGCTTAAACATTTTTTCTAGCAGACCTTGCAGTCGAACATTGTTCTTTTTAGAAGCTTTTTTAGTGCGAAGTGTACAAGATCGCTTAATAG